ACTCTTAATATGTTTAGTTTTCTCTAACAATCTTTCTGTATTAAACTGAAGATATATGTCATAGAGGATAAACATAATCAAATTCTTCTAAGATAAATCCAGCTAGGGTTAGAATTTTAAATCTTTACAATATGAAAATAATTTTACTTTAGGGGATGGCAAACTATGATATGTGGATTGAATTTGGCACTTGGGCTATTTTTGCAAGGTTGGCATATGGCCCTTGAGCTAAGAATGGTTTTCGTGTGTTTTAAAGGTTGTAAAACTGAGGGGAACACGTGACAGATTTTATATGGCTGACAAAGTCAGCCATATAAATATTCAGTCTCTAGTCCATTACAGAAAAAAAAAATTGCTGATCTGTACTTTATATTCATATAGCATTTTAAGTCGTAATTGTGTTTGTTCCCATGTGTTGTTATCATCTTAAAGTTCAAGAAGTAAGTAAATATTAAAAATATTATACAGACATCTTGTTCAGACACCTTGGCAGGGATCATTTATAAATAACATTTTGATAAAAGGATGATCACACCACTGGTCATTTAACACACTTGGAGACTTCAAAGCTAAGAAAAGGATTAGCCAGCACAATATAGCTGCATACATGTGAAGAGCCTACATTTGAGACTCTGGAGGGTGAATAACCGCCGATGTGAAAGCGGGCTCTCTGCACGTAGAAAACCAGCATTGATGGGAAGTGACCATAAAATGCGAGTGGTGTGGAATGAGCATGAGCACTCAGAACACAGATACAGAGCAGGTCAGGATGACAGGAGCAAACTGTATTAGCAACAACACCACTAGGTCTCATATTCCCTCGACTGCATTTATTAAAGTTTTAATAGGTTAAAATAAAGAACATCTAAACCAAAGGATATGGTGATAGTTGTGTACTGTTTGAAACAATTGCATGTGCATTAAATATGGAATAAGTAAAATACTAAAAATGTCTTAAGTTTTTATTGGGCACATCAAGTTAACATCATTAACCTGAGCTGTTGCTAATTCTTTTAAACATCGACATAAAATTAAACAAAAACTGCCTGTGATCAACTAATCAAAATGCAACATTAATTATTTCATTAGAAATAATTTTAACTCAATTTTGACTCATAGCAACCCTTCTGATGGTGAAGAACGGCCCCTGTGGGTTTCTTGGGCCTAAATCTTTATGGGAGCAGAAAGCCTCATCTTTCTCCCCAAGAAATAATATTATGATTCTTTTTTTATATGATTCAAATAATGAAATCTCCCTTTCCCCAAAACATGCATAATTAATTTAGATGTCTACAATCCAAGAATAGAGGTCTTAGTTTTTTTTTTGCTTTGGTTTTCAAACATCTGGGGAGAAGCAAATATATGATGCTCATTGTCAGTTACTTAGCCTTTAGTGAGAATTCATATATTAAACTTTTCTAACTATACAGAAAGTTGAAACCTGGTACGAAAGCCATTTTGACAGAAGAATATGGGGTAGGAACATGTTGGGACTAAGAGAAATGACCAAAGGATAAAATCATTAAAATACAAACAAACAAAACCAGGGTGGAAGAAGAAGGGCAGCATGAGGACTCTTCCTGACAGAATGAAGGCAAAGGATGACCCATCTGGGAAGGGAACTGAAAAGACACACTAGTTAAATTTCCCCTATAAATAATTTTTAAGTTGTTCAGCATTTAATTTCTTTTGCAACAATTAAACTGTGTGTAAAAGTTTAAGACACATGAGTAAAAACTGACCTGATGACCCATGTCAACCCTTGTGAAACTAAAGGTACTTAGGTGAGTGTTTGCTCCACGTACAGCTGGTTCTATTGTCTCACGAAACAACTTCTCGATAAATTGGCAAATAAAAGGCCACATGTGTTTGACAGTCTGGAAAGGAGAAAGATGAAATCATGTTACACGTGAAATTTCTAACCCATACTTAGTCATGAAAAATTATGTTCCTGTATTATTTTATCAGTTAGTTTTGAAAAATAAATGACAGGAGGGAATTCTTGTTCTACAAACCAACATGTTAAAAAATGTAAATTTTATTGCAACAATTAACTATTGATTAATCAATATGATGGATGAATTTGTTATTCAGATTAATTTTGGTTTAAAAGTATGAGCACATTTCATGATTGCTAAAAATGATGGAATCCTTACCGCTAAAAGCCTTCCTAAGCTACATAGATCTTAATAAGCATTAATAATTTTTATTTAATGACTAACTTCCAATACTATATGGTTATCATTATATATACATTAAAAGACTACATAGCTCCAAAATACATTTTTAAAATGGCGATAAATGAGATTGCGCTCAAAGAACATTGATAGAAAATCATACCTTTAAAAAAAATAAAAGACTAATAATTTTTACTAGATTTCTTTGGAATTATTTGCCTCTTCATAACAATGTTTCCAAAGTTTTCACTTAAAATTATTATTTAAAAGATGTGAGGACTAGCTGATTAGGACAGAAGACACGGCCAAAATTAAATGTGAGTATAACATAAATTTTCACCGGTCAAAGACATGTTTTCTTCACACTTTAGAAACGGAAAATAATGTCTCAGTTACGGCTCAGTTCTTTGGGAAACAGACATCATCTCACTAAATCCTAAGTGATTTCAATGTTGTCAACATCCAAATTCCCAAATATGGAAAGGTGATATCTCATCCTCTAATTCCCATTGCTAAGTGGTATCTGGTATGTTTTAATCTTACCTTATTTAGCCATTCTGCTCTTTCAGTGTCTGGAAAATGAACCTAGGAGAAAAAAACACATACACACATAACTTACTGAGAGTTTTGACAATTCTAAAATGTCAAGAAGGCTGCTTAGTATTTTTAGTGTACGTCTTATGCTTACATAAGGCCTCTTTTAAACAAACCGCTTTAAAGCTTTGGAAAATGGATCCCTGAGGAGCGAAAGGAAAATGTCTGGCACTCTGATTCTTGACACCTTTTAAGAATATCCTAGTGGCCACCAAATCCTACCAGAACCTGTTCTACATCCCCATTGTCCAGAGACCAGCCACTGGTACCTCAATCATGAAAAGCATGAAAATTGAAGGCACTCGTTTTAAATCGTCTTCTCATTCTATCATTACTATGACTAGCATTGTGTTATCCAGGTCTAGACTCAGCGCCTTCAAAAGTGAACTTTTCTTTTTGTTTTCTACTTATTGTCCAAAACAGCCTGCAGATGCCTTTTCCATATTTGGATCCTCTTCGTGCGGTCTCTCACACTCTCCTAAATGTGCACCACAATTGTAGTTTATGATGGATAGGTCCTATATGTTGAAGAAAAAAAGTATTTGTAGAGGTAGAAAGAAACCTACTTAGAAAAAAGGTGGAAAATTTTGCTTTCTTTGCTGTTGGGGCTAAAACAAAACATCCCTGCATAGGGAGTTAAAGCTGCGTTAGGCCAATATGGAAAGTTTCCTCTGAGAAATCATGTGCTCCCTTGACCCTCAAAAGAAATGTATATTTCACATTAATGTTACAATAATAACATTTTTATTTAAAATGAATAGTAAAACACGGACATTTTTGTGTGAAGCACCAAGATACTGTCAGGAAAATGTTCAGATTTCTAGAACTTATGTTCCCATGTAGCATACTTGAGCTGATGGGGCGGGGGGGTCCCCCTACTCTACTATCACCCCTGCTGTGGGAAGACTATCAGTGAGAAGGTTAGTTTTGCAGAAATGGTTGGGAATAGCTAGACAGAGAATACTATCAGATTGCTGAATCTCAAGGAAATGATTCTTTGAAAACCACTCAATCTCTTTGGCTGGCCCTCAAGAACGACCTGAAAATTAGATGTCAGCAGCAGCCAGTCCTGATCCCCAAACACTCATTATCATCATATTCATAGCTCCACCACTTGGAAGAAAAACCAGGAGAGCGATTCCTTTCACGATGAGACCACAGGGGCACAGTGGTTAAAGCATTAGGCTGCTAACCTCAAGGCTAGCTGTTCGAAACCAAGGGGAAAAGACAAGACTTTCTACTCCTGCGAAGAGTTCCAGTCTCAGAAACCTACAGGGGCTCTTCTACTCTGTCCTTTAAGATCACTATGAGTTGAACTGCTCGATGGCAGTAGGTTTGGCTTTTTGGTTTGGGGAACACAGGTAAGTGTAGACCAGGGGTTCTCAACCTTCCTAATGCTGTGACTCTTTCATACAGTTTCCCATGTTGTGGTGACCCCCTCAACCATAAAATTATTTTCGTTGCTACTTCAAACTGGAATTTTGCTACTGTTATGAATTAGGCGACCCCTGTGAAAGAGTCATTCGACGCCCCCAAGGGGGTCGCGACACACAGGTTGAGAACCTCTGGTGTAGAGGAAGCAGCAGCTGGTCATGTTACTTACTCTCTGTTCCCTTTTGTCCAAATGCCTTACAGTGTCTAGTATGTTTAAACTATGAGGGTGGACTTTAAAATGTTCTTTTAAGTTAGCCTGAATCTACTCTAGAACAAAATAAAAGTAAAAGCAATCTTCCAAATTAAGAAAAAGGTTTAAAACTTGGGAACCTATGAAAAAAAATCCAAAGATTAGGAGAAAGAATTGCTAGAAATATTTGCTCAAATCCCGAATATGTATTTTTATCAATATATACCCAAAACAGCAGCTGTCAAGTCCATCTGACTCATGGCAACATCAGGTGTGTCAGAGTAGAACTGTGCTCCACTAGGTTTTATGTTTGTTTTTTTTAATCATTTTATTAGGGGCGCATACAACTCTTATCACAATCCATACATACATCAATTGTGTAAAGTGCATTTGTACATTCATTGCCCTCATCATTCTCAAAAC